GTCCCCACAGCATGGCAGACGTCCAGGACAATCCTTATTTATAAGGACGGAGATAGGAAGGACCCCGCGAACTGGAGGCCACTCACAATCAGCTCAGCCCTTATGAGGTTATTTCACAGGGTGCTTGCCGCAAGGATAAGTGCCTTTGTCGAACTGAACCTCAGTCAAAGAGGCTTTACTAACGTAGATGGCACTATGGCCAATTGCCTCATCCTGGAGGCCTACGTGCAGTCTAGACGGGCGGAGGGGAAAGCACACGCTGTCATTACCGTAGACTTACGGAAAGCTTTTGACAGCGTGTCGCATTGGTCCTTGCAAAGGGCCCTCCGCCGGTTTAGGATCGCTAGGCCCCTTGCAGAATATATTATGAACAACGTGTCATGCTCATCCACGACCATCAAACATAACAACGGCTCCTCTCGACAAATCAATATAACGAGAGGAGTCAAACAGGGTGACCCTTTGAGCCCTGTTCTGTTCAATCTCGTGGTGGATGAGCTCTTGACAGATTTGGAACGCAAAGCGGAAGTAGGGGGTTCAATAGCTCCAGGAATAAGGGTCCCGGCATTAGCATTTGCCGATGACCTGGTATTGCTGGAGGATAATGAATTGAACCTCCCGCTAACGCTTCGCGCTGTGTCTAAATTCTGCAAGTCCAGGGGGATGGCAATCAATCCCCGCAAATGTACGGCCATGGTAGCGCGCTCCAACAACAAGCGCATATACTATGCAAATAACAACATATCAGTAGATGGCCACCGGTTACGCGATATCGGAGTAACGGACTCGTTTAAATACCTTGGACATGAGTTCAGTGGTACTGGTGTATTAAAGCCAAATAACTCCAACCTGGCAACATGGCTGCGTCGCGTGGATGCCGCACCTTTGAAGCCCGACCAAAAGGCTGGGCTTATCCGGGACTTTGTACTACCTAAAGTCCTGTATGGCCTTCAGAATGCAAAGGTGAATGGCAAGATCCTACGTGAGGCAGACAGACTCATCAAACACAGATTCAAGTGCATCTTGCATCTAGCGGTCACAACACCTGACCAATTCTTGTATGCGTCATTCAGGGATGGCGGGTTAGGACTAACCCAGTTACGACACGCCATCCCACGGATGATGCATGCAAGAATGGAGAAACTGAGGTTGAGAGGCTATGACCTCAAGCTTAGAAGAGCACTGGAATCTCCGTATATAGCCCACCTTGCCGATAGGCTGAGGAATTTGGCTGGACCGGTACCACCTCGAGACCACTGGCGTGACGTCATTAGGACTTCTCCCTTCAGTAAGGGACTGGAGCAATGTAAAGACGACCCTGCGAGCAGAAATTGGTTACCAATAAGACCTGCAGGGTGGACCGGACGTGACTATGTCCGAGCGGTCCACCTACGCACTAATAACCTTCCGACGGTGGGTATACCATCCAACCCACCGGAACTGCGCAAATGCAGAGGAGGGTGCGACAAAGTGGAAACCATCTGTCACGTCCTTCAAGGATGTCCTGTGACTCACCACCCAAGGATATCCAGACACAATGAAATTGTGGCAAAGGTCGAGACACACTGCAAGCAGCAGGGTTGGGTGGTAGAGAAAGAGCCACATGTCCGACATGCAGACGGCACGCTCTTCAGGCCTGATCTGGTAATCCACCAGCAGGACAAAAGCGTCGTGTGTGACGTCCAGGTGTCATGGGATGGAGATTTGCCCCTTTCTGTTGTGTGGGCAAATAAAAAGGCAGTCTACAACAATGACATGTTCATAGCAGCGGCAGCCAGGAAATGGCCTGAGAAGACTATGACATTTGCGCCGCTAATTCTAGGCGCGCGCGGAGTCTTCCACCGCTGCAACCAACCAACTGTAGAACTGTTGCGGATGCCACAGCCGCTTAAGAACAGCGCAGTACACTCTGTGCTCAAGTGGGGGTCTAGTTTGCATTCATACTTCATGAGGAATGTGACAGGCCAAAACACTTCCCGCCGCGGCTATAACGGAGCGGATCGTGGAAACGCCAATGCCAGAAGGAGGGGTCGCATCCCAACGGAGCCTGCAAACTTACAACGCAGTGCTCCTCAGGCAACCTCATCCCAAGGCATACGCGACACATCGATTCGCGATAGGCAAGCTGCTACTGCAACTGCACCACCCTCCGCTAACCTTTCTGGAGGGCGCAGTCGCGAGGCAGCCGTGCCTATACCCTCCGTCAACTTCATCCAGGGTGACACTTTGACACAATCTGCAGTCCCCCCACCTTCCGGACTTGCTGACCCGCTCTTCCCCCCCGTAGCACGAATGACGAAAGAGTCGGCGCCTGGCTCTCGCTACCAATTGGGTAGGCTCCGGGAGCCCTCCCTGTTGGAGAGTATACGTCTGTATCTGGCATATCTACACGATAAGTCAGCAGACGTATGCATTGCGGGCAAAACCAGCGCCAGCATTAGGTTGCGACTCGCAACCGAAGGGCTCCCCGCGCGAAGGGAAGAACTGCTGAACCTATACAAGCAGTTCTACCTTTCGTACGGCCTTTCGGAGGCAGACGCCGACTCAGACCTATACGCACTACGCCTCCAGACCCAGACTGAACGGACTGCTTACTTACAGAGAGCCCGTGAAACACATAACAAGTACATAAGACCATAAACATCTTCTAACACTCCGTTGTTGTCACATTATGTCACCACCACCATACATAATTCTGTAACACATATCACCCATTCCATCGACAACAACGGACACCAGCCTGCGTGCTGGCTTCACACATAAACATCATGTAAATCCCATCTGCGCATGGGGGTAAAACAAACAAAACCCTTTTCGGGTACATGTATTTATTATCTTAATAAATATTTTACATAGCCAAATGCCTCGTCATCTAATTAGTGACGCGCATGAATGGATTAACGAGATTCCCACTGTCCCTACCCACTATCTAGCGAAACCACTGCCAAGGGAACGGGCTTGGAAAAATTAGCGGGGAAAGAAGACCCTGTTGAGCTTGACTCTAGTCTGGCACTGTAAGGAGACATGAGAGGTGTAGCATAAGTGGGAGATGGCAACATCGCCGGTGAAATACCACTACTTTCATCGTTTCTTTACTTACTCGGTAAGGCGAAACGCGTGCGCCGTTCGCTCACGTGGCGGCGGCTGTCACGGTATTCTCGAGCCAAGGGCACTGAGTGTACTAATGGCGTATAAAGTATGTGTCACACTGATACTCTAATCGCGATCAGCGATAAATGTCCCACTGGATTTTAAAATAGCCAAATGCCTGTGGTTTGCGACGTTCAAGTGTCACGGGAAGGGAACAACGGACTCGGACAACCATGGCAGCGAAAAAGGCTCGTCTACGGCAACGACAAGTTCGCACGTGTGTGCGGCATCTCACGAATATTAAACGTTCAAGAGCATCTTCCGCATCGTGACGGCCAAGATAACGGGCCAACACACGTGTAGTGGCGGGTTAGTGCGTGGGAATGGAGACAGCGGGGTGAGTACAAAGGGCTGGTGTTAAAAAGGCAATAAACATCGACATCGTAATTCTAACCTGAAACCATTCATTTTAAGGTTGGGGCATCGCGCAGGAGCGGAGAACCGAAAAGTCTGCCAGCGGGTGCCAATAAGACTGCCAGCGGCTCACCAGTCGCTGGAACTAGCAGGGCAGGCCCAAGAAAATTATCTAATAATACAGAAGCCAGTTATACGGCCACCCTGGGGCCTGCCCAAACAACAAGATACAATTGTGAAGATTGCGGAAGAGGATTTGTCACCAAGAACGGTCTAACCAGACACAAACCCGCATGCGGCACCGTGGAACGGACTAAATGCCAATATTGCGGGTCAGACTTTACATCCTACAGACTTCGATGGCCGGGCTGGACGGATGAATTTTTGCCCCTCATCATCGGAGCCCGTGCATATGGCCGCGATGCATCGAGCCCACTGGACGTGTGCTTGGACTGACTTAATAGCTTAAAGACAGCTTTGTCGATAGCATACTTAAGTGGGGCTCATCGATGCATACCACGTTCATGGGTCAAGCTCGAGCTATCGAAGTTAAATCCGGCCGCGCATAACTGTCGGACTTCTTTGGGCTCTGTTTATGTTTGTGCCGCTGTACTGCATCTCAAACCATCTTTGGCGTGGGTCAGTTTCACGTGTACTAATGGCGTCACACTGATACGTCAATCGCAATCTGCGATACATATCCAACAAGGATTTTAAAATAAATCGTTGGAGTGCGTCGCGATTAGATGAATCACGGGGTGTAGATAATACCATCTATATGACGCGCATGCCTCATATCTATTTCATTCGAATTCAGTTTTTAAGTGGGGCGGCAGTATACATGCCACCTTCGGTCGTCAAGTGTGGCGGCGCCGTACACCGCCCGGAGTGAGATAGGTGTCTGTCTTCTCCGTTGCCTACGGCTGCTCCTCTAGAATGGGTTGTACGCCCTCAACAAAGCTAGTCCGTTCTAATTCCAATCTTAACATGTTCTTACTGTGAATTATGTGATTGTTATATTTATTAAATTATATATATATATATATATATATATATATATAGTTGGGTACAAAATACAATTACTTGTTAATTGGGAAATTAGCAAAACTTTTAGGCTTAAGTTGACTCTTTTGACGATAAAATCAAGCTTTCGGCATTCTCTATGGAGCGATCATCAGGATTCTGATTCTGAGATGGCCCCTGCGGGTGTTGACTCAATGTGATTTCTGCCCAGTGCTCTGAATGTCAACGTGAAGAAATTCAAGCAAGCGCGGGTAAACGGCGGGAGTAACTATGACTCTCGAGTCATAAAGTAAGGAAACATTTACACAAACCATTTTTTCAAGTATCAGCTGTGTTGTTGGCTAACGTTGACGTCTTTTTTAAGATCGTTCAACGGCACTTGACGACTTCGGTTTGTGTTCTTGTGGAGCTTGTGGCTCACCCGGGAAGGTTCCGGATTTTTCAATCCAACCGAGAGTCGGGCCCGTGTCATTATGTCACGGTGGCTAATTCCCGGATCGAAACGCACTCACCGCGCCCCACAAGAACAGTGGCGCGAGATTGACCAAGGCGCAGGTTCTCGGCGCCGGTCCTACGAAGAAGGGGCCAGATTTACTTCTGGCCCTATCCGCAACACAGGCGGGACTGGGGACAAGGGGAGGACAGCCATAAAAATGGCTATGCCCGTCAGCGGCGCCAAGACTTGCAATTCTGACGCCAGATCCTCCCCGTACCAATGCACGACGTGCGACCATGCTTTTTCGTCAAGTGTGCAACTAAGACGACATGTTATGGCCAGGGCTTGTGGCGACAAGCTAAAGTGCGGGCACTGCCCGCAACGTTTTGGCAGTTTCAGATCAACGAGGCTACATGAGCGTAAGGCGCATCCCGTGGAGTACGCCAAAGAAGCCGCAGACCTTCGCGATCCCGTGCCTGAAACAGAGATCTTTCAGATCATGTCCGGGATCGAGGCCCAAAATCCAGCGGGTCATATTAACAAACGCATGGCTGAAGTGACTGGTCTGACGATAGACCAGATACGGGGCAAGAGAAAGAAACCCGACTACCAGAAATATTTGGAACTGACCAAGAGGAAACTTCAAGCCCCTGGTAGTCGGAAACTCACACTATCGGTGGATCCACCATCTATTGCCCCAGGTCGCAGCACTACCACGGGTTGCGACGAAGCGCCCATGTTGCCCTCGCGTAATATTCAACATCCAGCCTCTAGCCAAGGCAGGTTACTTTCCAGCGTCAAGAGGCAGCTGCTAAGCAGAAGCGGCCGAGGGAGAGCTGCTCACCGCGGGAGCTCAACCCCGCTAAGAGGAAATCGCAGCCGGCTAAAAGTCGACAAAACAAGCAGAGGAATGAATGCAATCCTGACGACACTGATCCCACCAGTGCGCCGTCTGAGATGAGGAAACGTAAAAGAGTGGCAAGCCCAAGTGGCTCAGGAATTCAAACCATATCAAAAGAACCCGAATCTGCGGTCAATAGCCCAAATGATCGCCCTGCAACGGATCCTTCGCCTTCGAATACTCTAAAGTCGCACCGTGACACCTTTAATGACGGACCTGGAACCTCCTATAGCCACGCTGTGGCTGAAAGTAGTCCTTGTGCCCACGGGGCAGTGCTGCCCCAGAAGTCGCCGAACCCTCCTGCACCATTGCTAAACCTAAACTCCACTTTTGTGGAGTACCTGCGGGAGGTGTGAGGTGTCTTCAACGAGGCTGGGCACAGGGACATAAGACGTCTTATCGACATGGCCATTTTCGGCTCCCCCGAGCAATTGGCGGTCGCATTAGACCGCTGGGTGGAGTCAAAGCTTACTAAAAAGGCCCCACATAATCGAGTACAGAGGAGGAACCAGCAACCCGGCAGGCATTACAACCAGCCAAAGGGCGGCAGCGGTAAGCGCGCGTCCGAGTATAAGAAGGCGCAGGACCTATTTGTGAGGGACAGATCCGGCCTCGCCGATATCGTGCTCGGGGGGCGGAGCATGTACGAGCCACCAAGCTACCCACCATACTTGAGGTGGAGACATTATTTGCGGGGATCTGGGAATCCTCTGCAGGGACTGATGATGAGGCCATCAGTAATCCTAAAGCAGCAACATCAGAGGTTTTTTACCTCATCTCTCCTGATGACGTCAGCATGGCCAAGACCAACTGGCAAAACGCGGCTTCTGGCCCCGATGGCCTTACAATTGCTGACGTCAAAAAGATTGACAACAAAGAGTTGAGCATAGTATATACCATCATCCTTGGGAGAAATCGACGTGGAAATCCAGTAGGACCGTGCTGGTCCCCAAGGATGGTGATAGTGCCAAAGCCGATAACAATAGACCCATTACCATCGGGTCCTCGCTTCAGAGGCTTATGCATCGTATCGTCAACAACCGTATTTGGGGAGGCCGTCCAACTCAATCACCATCAAAGAGGCTTCAAAAGGATGGATGGAACACACATTCTTCAAAAGTGCGATCTGGTACACGAAGAGAGAGTACGACGCCACAATGATGTGGCCAAAAAGATCGCCGCCCACACTAGATCGAAATGGCAGACCGAGGAGGAACCACATGTGCGTCACCCCGACGGGCAACTGTACAAACCTGACATATCGAAGGGGCTCGCACTGTGGTTTGCGACATTCAAGTGTCATGGGAGGGGAACAACGGACTCGGACAACCATGGCAGCGTAAAAGGCTCGTCTACGGCAACGACAAGTTCGTGGAGGCTGCTCGTCTTCGATGGCCGGGCCGGACGTATGAGTTTTTGCCCCTTATCATCGGGGCCCGCGGCATATGGCCGCGTTGCAACGAGCCCACTGAACGTGCGCTTGGACTGACCAAACAGCTTAAAGACAGCTGTGTCCATAGCGTACTTAAGTGGGGCTCATCAATGCATACTACATTTATGCGTCGAGCTCGAGCTATCGAAGTTAAATCCGGCCGCGTGTAACTGCTGGATTTATTTGGGCTCTGTTTGTATTTTAGCCACTGTACCGCATCTCAAACCATCGATGCGGTGGGTCAGTTCCACGTGTACTAATGGCGTATGAAGTATGTGTCACACTGATACTATAATCGCGATCTGCGATACATGTCCGCATTGGATTGATATTAGCCAAATGCCTCGTCAACTAATTAGTGACGCGCATGAATGGATTAACGAGATTCCCACTGTCCCTACATTTGTATTAGGAGGTTGTTTTCTTTTTATATTGTTTTATTGGTGTTAGGTAATTACAGTTTAGGTTTTGTTATGATATTATTTTATAATTTGTAATATTTGTATTGGGGGGCCCAAGAAAAAGGGGAATAAAAAAAATCTAAAAAAAAAACAACGGGGCCTTCCTTCCTCGCTAATTTTTGGATGGCGGCGGTTGGCGGGTTCCTTTGGTAGTGGTTTTGCTAGAAGCTGGGTAATCAAGACGAGTTCGTTGAGCATGTCCCTACCCACTATCTAGCGAAACAACTTCCAAAACAAGTTATGCCAGCATTTTAGTAATTTTGGGTGGAGATTTACCGAGCGTCCTCGTATACTTCATACCCAAAGTTGGACAGGGAGATGTACATTTCCACGTTCCGTCGCGTCAATCACTTGTCATCTGTCGACGCTGTACCGTTCCGTGCCTTTCCCCCTCTCCACGTGTAGCGGTAGTAGAAGGTTAGGGACTGCATTCCGATTGTTTCAACAAAATGTCTCCCCACGTGTAATATTTTTAGCTTGTTCGGGTGTATTGATGGCGGTCGAAGGTTCCTGACCTCCACGCTCATCCACCCGCCTTACCTTTGGTATGGCATTTGAACGAGGATGACGGCTAACTAGGGAACCAGCCCCCCGATTAACCGGTCGGGGCCTGTCTGCGGACAGTTATAAGGAGTCGGTGTGGAAACCGAGGGCGAGATACAGACCACCTTGTATCTTACCCCTTAGGGGAAGACGTGCGCTTCGCCCAGCCAGCCGAGTCGCATATGACTTACAGGCTATTAGCAGAACAAACATAGCCTCGGAAGATCGGGGTGGTGATGGGCCCACACCATCCCAAAATCCTAGACAAGGGACCCATGATGATGAAAATGGCGATGACAACGATATTGAAATTTTGCTCCCCTATACAGAAAGGTCATGCCCCCTATGCCTCAAAAGAAGCATTAACATCCTGCACATGACCTTAAACGATGAAATTAAGCATGTAAAATCAGAACATAGTGATACACGAATTAGATTCAAATGCAGGATGTGCTCAAAAATATACATATCAAAACATGCGGCACTGTGTCACGTCCCCAAGTGCCCCACCACCAGAGTCAACAGACTCCGAGACTGACGGAATACCAAGTAACTCGCCTATACCCGAATCGGGAAGCGTGGCCTGCCCCGATTGCGGCGAAAGGTACTCCGGCCGCAGTGCACTAGCACAGCACCAGCGGCACCGGCATCCACTCACCCGAATCGAAGCTAGGGCAGCCGGTACACGGCGGTCTCCTCGACAGAGAAGATTGGTAATCTTCACTGAAGAGGAGGAAGGAATAATGATGGAGTGCGAACTCCGGTACCGGGGTGAGTTGCGCATAGCAATGCGCATGCAGGAGCTGATACCAGAGAAAACTTTGAAACAACTCTGGGACAAAAGGGCCCAGAAATGTTATAAAGAACGACGAGACAAATACTTCGCAGAAAGAGGGATCATAGCGGGCGCTAGTACTGATGACAGTACTGAACCATTATCCACAGACACAGGAGATGGTAGAGTTACCGTCCCCGAAGAAGAAGCGCCCGCAACCGCCAGCTGCGAGAGTAGGGGGTGGCTCCCCTATTCCAGTCCCGGAGTTACTCGATGTATGAGCAGTAGCTGCCATTGCATTTTTTTCATAAAATGGGTGAGCTATGATTGTAGTTGAAAATATTGTAACATCAAATTTTATTCAATTACATTGTCCTTTAAATGGATGTATCTGTTGGGCAATAAATATATTATTATTATTATTATTATTATTGCAGGGGGTGAAAATAACGTTAATAATATCACCCCCACCGCCGAAAACACAAGTCCGTCTCAGACGCCTGACATGTCAGAGAGGGTACTGAATGTCAGTGAAGATGAGTTGGTATTGCCAGCAGCTTCTCCAGAAGAGACACTTTGGAGACAGGATGTTGCTCAGACTGCCCGTAGCTGCAAGTTGACTCGAGCGGCACAGTAACACCTGGAGGTGAACACGGTCACCCAGCTGCTCAGAAATGCAATCTCCGAGGCTTGCGATTTGCCTATGGGGCAGCCCCAATCGCAAATAGACATTATACATGACAGAGTCACCGCTCTCTTCGTCAGCGAGGAGCGGGGAGTTGCAGGGCGACGAAAGGGAAGGCGTAGAGGACAAAATAAGAGGGGCAACAGACGGTACCTCTACGCCCGTACCCAGAACATATACAAAAAGGAACCAGGCATTCTTGCCAAACACGTCAGTAACAACGTGGACTGGCTGGAGGAACCAGGGGTAAAAGCTCCAGCCCAAGACGTGCGGGACCTGTACAGAAAGCTTGGGGGCACAAATCCGTCTGAGGTACAGGTGCCCTTCCTGGGAGAGCCCTCCGAACCAGCTCTTGAGTTAGGTACTGTCCTATCCGCAGTAACGGCGAAGGAGGTGAACACGCGTCTCTCCCGGTTGAAAATGTCCACAGCACCGGGGCCCGATGGTATTGAAAAGGGAGACGTTAAACGCGTTCCCAGTGCAACCGAAGTCCTCCAATTATTCTTTAATTTGATCATGATAAGCGGTAATATTCCTACCGCTTGGAGGAAGAACCGAACCACATTGATCCCTAAAGAGTGTAAGGACGGTATGTTAGCTGAAAACTACCGTCCAATTACAATCTCTTCATTACTGTCGAGAATCTATTTTGGCATTATCGACAGCAAACTTAGGGCAATAGCACGCTTCTCATCCAGACAAAAGAGCTTCATGAACGAATCTGGGTGCTTCAACAACATCCACATCCTCAATGAGCTGCTGAGGCACTCAAAAGCCAAGAATGGCCTGGTTGTAACGCAGCTGGACGTGTCCAAAGCATTTGATACCGTGCCGCACCAAGCTATAGGACACGCGTTACGTCGCAAAGGCTTTCCCGAACAGGTGGTACGTATCGTGGAAAACGCATATGAGGATGTAACCACAGTGATAGAACTTGATCAGACGCCAATCGAGATACGCCTCCAGCGGGGGGTCCAGCAAGGTGACCCCCTCAGCCCATTATTATTCAATCTAGTTTTGGAGCCCTTACTAGATAAGCTGGAAACGAGACCTGGGTACAAAATCGACACAGAGACGCAGATATCGTCCTTAGCATTTGCCGACGATCTGCTCTTAGTCGCGCAAACTGTACCACATGCTAAGGACCAGTTAAGTAACACGGAAGCATACTTATCGAGTCTAGGTATGAAGATTGCTGCTAATAAATGCCGCACCTTCCGTGTAAACCGTACCAAAGACTCCTGATACTTAACTGACCCAGGCCTTGAACTCGACAGTGGAGAAGTGATACCGGTAGCAGGGGCCGGCGATCACCTTGTCTACCTTGGATGCAAGTTGTCTCCCTGGGTAGGGGTCACAACCGAGGGCATACGAGCCGACCTTGCATCAACTCTCAGTCGTGTGCAGCGACTGAAGTTGAAACCACATCAAAAGGTAGACTTAATCTCCACTTACATTGTTCCTCACTACCTATATCAGTTGTTCATAGCGATGCCGGATAGCTTGGCCAGTTACTGGGGAGCAACTGACCAGCTATACTAGAACGCAAAAGAAGGCTGAGCTTGCCAGATGGAAGCGCCTTGGTTCTCAAGGAAAGTCGGCAGCGGCCTTCGCCGACTCCAAGATTGGAAACGCATGGCTTAGGGACCCCTCGTTGCTCAAGCCATGTCGCATGATTACAGCCCTCAAGATGAGAACCAACTCATGTGCTGACAGGGCGGCCATGAGTAGAGCGACCAGAATACCGGATCCTACATGCAGACAATGTGGTTCACAAATTGAGACATTGGGACACATATTGGGGCAATGTCGTCACACCAAACCACATAGGATTCGAAGGCACGATCAGATCAAAAACCTCATCGTGCAAGAACTCAAAAAGAAAGGCCCAGAGATAGCAATAACGGTTGAACCGACGGTGGTGGCAACCGGAGGCGGGAATCTCAAACCTGACCTGGTAATACAAAGCCGAGGAAGGGTCTTCGTGGTCGATGTTACAGCCCGCCACGAAGACGGGAAGTTAGGAATCTCTCAAAATCACGTGCTTCTAACAAAGTCGTTAATAGCACTTCGTAGTTCCATCGAAATATACAATGAATTCATGGACTACGACGCCCCTCGGACGCGCCGCGGCGCGCAACCCCACAGGTGATTCAGCAACCTGTGGGAAAAACTTCTGGCCCTACTGCAGTTTATTTCAAATGCGGCGTCTGATTTTATGCTTTTAATATATTATTATTATTATTATACTTATTTATGTATTTATGCATTTTATCTGTGGTGTCCAGCTTCGGCTTATTTTAAAATGTACTCAACTCACCTTATTGGTGACCACCCCTATTGGTGGAGGGTGAGATTGGTGTTGTGCCAGCGCTAAATTTAAACTATCATATCAACAAGCAGGAATGCGTAGCGGTGATCTGGGCATGCAAAATGTACCAGTCATATCTTGATGGGAAAAAGCTCTAGTTTGGTTAAACCACTTGCAAGAATGTTTATTCGATATGTATCATTGCCAAGGCAAGGATAACGAAATGTCGGATTATCTGTCTCGACATCCGGCTAATATACCGTGCCGAGTACCAGATGGCAGTAAATTAGTTAATAATTATAATAATAATATGCCTTTATTTTTCATGGCGGGTATATCAGCTGATAGCTGCTTTTAGTACATCTCTTCTCCGCCGCTGAAGAGCGAGGACGTGTGTGCGATATATCGCAAATTTAAAATTCGATTCAAGAACATCTACCAGGTCGCGACGCCCAGGACAACGGGCAACACACGTGTAGTGGCGAGGATAATGCGTGGGAGTGAAGGCAGCGGGGTGAGCATAAGGGGCTGGTGTCAAAAAGGCGAATAAGTACTGACAACGTGGTTCTAACCTAAAACCGTACTTTCTAAGGTTAAGGGCCTTACTATAAATCGATGGCCCCACGATAGTTATTCTGTCTTTGGGCATCGCACATTCAATAGCTGGCAGCATAAGGTTGCGACTAGCAACCGAGGGGCTCCCTGCAAGAAGAGAGGAACTGCTAAAACTGTTTTTTATATGGCCTTTTGGAAGCAGACCTGCAAACTTACAACGCAGTGCTCCTCAGGCGACATCTTCCCAAACCGTATCCAGGCTCAATGAAGTTGAGGCCAAGGTCGAGACACACTGCAAGCAGCAGGGTTGGGTGGTTCGGAAAGAGCCGCATGTCCCGCATTCAGATGGCACGCTCTTCAGGCCTGATTTGGTAATCCACCAGCAGGACAAAAGTGTCGTGTGCGTCCGCAGTTACGAGCTAGCAGCCGTTGCGAGTGTATACTTGTGCGACTGCGACCCACCTGGACTTACTGTGCGATATTATTGCGATTTTCATCGCGATACGATTGCTGGCGAGGATCGAGAAGCTGACAAGCCAACTAAAGCAGAAAGAAGATGCTTTCACCATGCTTGCAGAGCAGATGAAGAACCTGCAAGAAGCTTACATGCAGGCATAACAGGAGAAAGAGGAAGTCAAAGGGAAGCTCCTCAAGGTGAAGAGGAAGGCTAAGAAGACCCTAGCAGAAGAAGAAGACGAGGACCAGCAGACCACATCAGACAATGAGATGGATGCCCAAGAAGAGGACAGCCAGCAACAGGACGACACAGAAGAAAAGAAGAGGTCAGCCGACAAGGGCGACTCGGACTACAGTGTCTTCACCAGGCGGAAGAAAAGAGTAAGGATTTCCTCCTCCGACGAAGACGATGCACCCAGGCAGTCCAAGAAGCCAGCTGCCACCCAGAAGAAGAGTCCTAGAGAAGCCAGGACCATCGTGGCCCCCATGTTAGGAACAGGAGTTCCTCCAATCAACATTGAGGGCACCGCTGATTGGTCATCCTTAAGCAGGATGATCAACAATAAGGGAATTCAATTCTCCAAGGCGAGGACTGCAGGGAACACGGTGAAGGTATTCACCAATACACCGGCTGACTACCGACAGCTAGTAACCCTGCTAGATGCAATGAAGAGGCCCTTCTTCACTTACCAACTGAAGGAGGAAAGGATGGACCAGAGGGTAATTCGAGGACTATCCAGGGAGATGTCATTTGAGGACATCAAAGAGGATCTAGTGAGCCAAGGGATCGCAGACGTCGAGGTTCAACAGATGAAGACCAGGAACACCAAGGAGCGGCTACCGCTCTTCCTCGTGAAGACGAGGATGGCGGAAAAGCTGCAGGAGGTCCAGAGGCTGGCCATGCTCACGGTCAGCTTCGAGAAGAAAAAGAGTTTACATAAATTCAAAAAGTATTAAGCAATTTCTAGTACAGTCAGAGCCTTATACAATAGATGAGTTCTATGGGAGTTGTAATAGTATAAGATAGTACCTGTTTTAAGATAAATAACCATATAACACAAAAAAAGGTCTCAGGTAAACTACTATAGTTATGGTGACAGTGACGCGACATTTCATTTTGTAGTGGCTATACAATTTTTGTAATGTCATTGTACAATTTGGAATATAGATTATTATTATTATTATTATTATTATTATTATTATTATTATTATTATTGACTAGGAGACTAGGAGAACCCGCGGAACTGCTAAACTTGTACAGGCAGTTCTACCTTTCGTACGGCCTTTCGGAGGCAGACGCCGACTCGGACCTCAACGCGCTGCGCAATCTGACGCAAACTGAGTGGATGGTATACCTACAGAGAGCCCGCGAAACGCAATATAAATATTGCGGGTTAAGTGGCAATTTTTTATATAATCAGTCTATTTGGAAATAAAGACGTTTATTATTATTATTATTATTATTATTATTATTATTATTATTATTATTATTATTATTATTATACGAGACATCTCTAGCGTTCCTAGGTCAGTAGCAACATCGTCACATGCTCCATTGCTGTCAAATTATGTTACCACCCTCATACATAATTCACCATTACATATCACCCATTCGATCGACAGCAACGGACACCAGCCTGCGTGCTGGCAATACTTTATGTGTACTCATCTGCGCATGGGGTCAAAAATCCAACTCTTCGGGGACATGTATTTATCAAATAAATATTTTACATAGCCAAATGCCTCGTCATCTAATTAGTGACGCGCATGAATGGATTAACGAGATTCCCACTGTCCCTACCCACTATCTAGCGAAACCACTGCCAAGGGAACGGGCTTGGAAAAATTAGCGGGGAAAGAAGACGGGTAAACGGCGGGAGTAACTATGACTCTCTTAATGACTCTCGAGTCTTAAGCAAGGAAGCATTTACGCAGACCATTTTTTTCAAGTATCAGCTGTGTTGTAGGCTGCGCTAACGTCTTTTTCAAGATAGTTAGCGTTTCTTGGTGACATCGGTTTGTGTACTTGTGGAGCTTGAGACTCACCCGGGAAGGTTCCGGATTTCCTCCAAATCCAACCGAGAGTCGGGCCCGTGTCATTATGTCACGGTGGCTAATTTCCGGATCGAACGAACTCACCGCTCCCCACAAGAACAGTGGCGCGAGAATGACCAAGGCGTCGGTTCTCGGCGCCGGTCCTACAAAGAACGGGCCAGATTTACACCTGGCCCAACCCGCATCGAGCGAACGCGGGAGTGAGGACAAGGGGAGGACAGACATAAAAATGGCTATGCCCGTCAGCGGCGCCAAGATCTGCAATTCTGGCGCCAGATCCTCCCCGTACCAATGCACGACGTGCGACGGTGCTTTTACGTCAAGTGCACAATTAAGAAAACATGTTACGGCTAGGGCTTGTGGCGACAAGCTTAAGTGCGGGCATTGCCCGCAACGCTTCGGTAGTTTCAGATCAACGAGGCTACATGAGCGTAAGGCGCATCCCGTGGAGTACGCGAAAGAAGCCGCAGACCTTCGCGATCCCGTGCCTGAAACAGAGATCTTTCAGATCATGGCCGGGATCGAGGCCCATAATCCAGCGGGCCACATCAATAAACGCATGGCTGAAGTTACTGGCTTGACGATAGACCAGATACGGGGCAAGAGAAAGAAACCCGACTACCAGAAATATCTGGACCTGGCAAAGAGGAAACTCCAAGCCCCTGGTAGTCGGAAACCCACAAGATCGGTGGACACACCAGCCATTGCCCCGGGTCGCAGCACTACCACGGGTTGCGACGAAGCGCCCATGTTGGCCTCGCGCATTATTCAACATCCAGCCTCTAGCCAAGGCAGGTTACTTTCAAGCGCCAGCGCATTACCTTTGCCTCAAGAGGCAGCTGCTAAGCAGAAGCGGCCGAGGGAGAGCTACTCACCGCGGGAGCTCAACCCAGCTAAGAGGAAATCGCAGCCGGCTAAAAGTCGACATAACAAGCAGAGGAACGACTGCAATCCTGACGGCACTGATCCCACCAGTGCGCCGTCTGAGATGAGGAAACGGAAAAGAGTGGCAAGCCCAAGTGGCTCTGGAATTCAAACCAGATCAAAAGAACCCGGATCTGCGGTCAATAGCCCAAATGACCGCCCTGCAATGGATTCTTCGCCTTCTAATACTCAAAAGTCGCACCGCGACACTCTCAATGTCGGACCTGGAACCTCCTCCAGCCACGCTGTGGCCGAAAGTAGTCCTTGTGCCCACGGGGCAGTGCTGCCCCAGAAGTCACCGAACCCTCCTGCACCACTGGTAAACTTAAACTCCACTTTTGTGGAGTACCTGCGGGAGGGGAGAGGCGTCTTCACTGAGACTGGGCACAAGGACATAAGACGACTTATCGATATGGCCATTTTCGGCTCCCCCGAGCAATTGGCGGTCGCATTAGACCGCTGGGTGGAGTCGAAGCTTACTAAAAAGGCTCCACACAATCGAATACAAAGGAGGAACCAGCAACCCGACAGGCACTACAACCAGCCAAAGGGCGGCAGCGGTAAGCGCGCGCCCGAGTATAAGAAGGCGCAGGACCTATTTGCGAGGGACAGATCCGGCCTCGCCGATATCGTGCTCGGGGGGCGGATCATGGACATTCGTAAGGCCTTCGACAGCGTCTCCCATTCATCCATCATTAGAAGCCTCGAGAGGGTCGGACTGGAGAAAGAGATAGTGGATTATATACGTGAATCCCTCACAAACTGCCAAACTACAATCAAAGTAGGCAAAGAATTCTCACGCCCAATTAATATCTGTAGGGGGGTGAAACAGGGCGATCCACTATCTCCTATTCTGTTCAACATAGTTGTGGACGAGCTGCTAGAACATATTAACCGCAATTGGGCCGGCGGCACACTCAACGCCGATGTGAGGATGGCAGCGATGGGATTTGCTGATGATCTCGTCATCATAGCTGATAGGGTGAACGACTTGCAGGTGATGCTGGGGGAGGTGGAGTTATTTTTCCAAGGAAGGGGAATGATCTTGAATCCCAGGAAGTGCAGTGCCTTGTGTGCTGTCACTTCTTCGGGGGACAAGCGGCCCTTCCCCATAACGAAACCATTCCTCAGCGTCGGCGGAGTCAAGATCCCGCAAATAGACATGCTCTCCACATTCAAGTACCTCGGTCACCACTATGGCGCTACAGGCGTCAGAAAGGCAAACATTCCAAACCTGCAGGTCTGGCTGGGTAACATCGATCGCGCCCCGTTGAAGCCCGACCAGAAGCTTACGCTTCTGAGAGACTTCCTATTGCCCAAACTTCAATACGGGCTCCAGTCTCTTAAAATTATGGGCGGGGTGCTCAAAGATGTCGATAGACATGTGCGGGGAGCAGTTAAACGCTACTTGCATATGTCTATACACACAACCGATGCAGCCATCCATGCTAAGATCAAAGATGGCGGATTGGGCATCCCGGAGCTTAGAAGGGTGATGCCCCAAATCCTCCTTAAGAGGATAACTAAGCTCCTAGAAGAGACTGGCGACGAGACGGTGTCGTGTGTTATTCAGTCAGACAGAACATTGGCGACTTTAAGACGGCTGCAGAATCTAGCGGGGGATATCCCTGCTGAGCAGCTCTGGCGAGAGGCTATTGCCTCGAAACCGACCACTTCTGGTATGCAACATACCTCTGAGGATGCCGCTTCAAGAAGCTGACTCCGGACCCGCCCTTCAGGTTGGTCCGGTAGGGATTATGTCCGAGCTGTTCACCTACGAACAAATAACCTACCCACCAACGACCTGCCATATAAGCCAGCAGAGCAAAGACTCTGCCGTAATCAAGGGTGCAAGTGCGTGGAAACTCTTCACCACGTACTTCAAAAGTGCGACCTTGCTCATGATGAGCGAATCCGTCGCCACAATGAGGTGGCTCGCAAGATCGCAGCCCACGCAAGAACAAAAAATTGGCAGGTCGAAGAAGAACCACACGTGCGCCACCCCGACCAACAGTTGTACAAACCTGACATAGTCGTACACATGGAAGGGAGGCGCACAGTGGTTGCGGATGTGCAAATATCCTGGGAAGGTAATGAAGGCTTAGGATTGGCGTGGCAGCGAAAGAAACTTGTCTATGGCAATGCGAAATTTATAGAGGCTGCACGACTTCGCTGGCCCGGCAAGTCTTTTGAATTTTTGCCCATAATAGTTGGGGCACGTGGCGTATGGCCACGCTGTAACGAGCCTACTGAGCATGCTCTTGGCCTGACCAAGCAGCTCAAAGAGAGCTGCGTCCATAGCGTGCTCAAGTGGGGCTCGAGTATTCACGCAACGTTCATGAGACGCGCCAGGGCCATCGAAGCACGAACGTAGATCGAGCTGTGATTGCCTGGCTTGCGGGCGCTGTTTTGCACTTTCGTCTTGACCGCACAGACCTAACGCCGTAACTTGTGCCGTGATTCAAAACCACGTTAGTTAACACATGACGGAATAGCAGTGTCGCACTGATTTTATATGCGGTTTATCCGCAACATGTCCCAAGGATTGTGAAATAGCCAAATGCCTCGTCATCTAATTAGTGACGCGCATGAATGGATTAACGAGATTCCCACTGTCCCTACCCACTATCTAGCGAAACCACTGCCAAGGGAACGGGCTTGGAAAAATTAGCGGGGAAAGAAGACCCTGTTGAGCTTGACTCTAGTCTGGCACTGTAAGGAGACATGAGAGGTGTAGCATAAGTGGGAGATGGCAACATCGCCGGTGAAATACCACTACTGTCATCGTTTCTTTACTTACTCGGTAAGGCGAAACGCGTGCGCGGTTCGCTCACGTGGCTGCGAGGCCCAGAGTGCGCTCGCAAGGGCGTTCTGGTGTCCTCTTCGGCCGCCATTCAACGGTCAGCTCAGAACTAGCACGGACCGGGGGAATCCGACTGCCTAATTAAAACAAAGCATTGAGATGGCCCCTGCGGGTGTTGACTCAATGTGATTTCTGCCCAGTGCTCTGAATGTCAACGTGACGAAATTCAAGCAAGCGCGGGTAAACGGCGGGAGTAACTATGACTCTCTTGGCGGTCAAAGGTTCCTGACCTCCACGCGGTGACTGCTGGGCAACGCTCATCCACCCGCCTTACCTCTGGTTAGGCATTTGAACGAGGATGACGGCTAACTAGGAACCAGCCCCCCGATTACCCGGTCGGGGCCTGTCTGCGGACAGTCATAAGGGGTCGGTATGGAAACCGAGGGCGAGATACAGACCACCTTGTATCTTACCCCTTAGGGGAAGACATGCACTTGGCCCAGCCAGCCAAGTTGCATAGGATTACAGGCTACTACTCAAAGAAACATAGCCTCGGAAGATCGGGGTGGTGACGGGCCCACACCATCCCAGAATCCTAGACCAGGGGCCCATGATGATGGAAATGGCGATGACAAGGACATTGAGATTTTGCTCCCCTATATCGAGAGGTCATGCCCCCTATGCCTCAAAAGAAGCATTAACATCCTGCACATGACCTTAAACGATGAAATAAAACATGTAAAATCAGATCACAAGGATATACAAATTAGATTCAAATGCAGGATGTGCTCAAAAATGTATATAGCGAAACATGCGGCACTGTGTCACGTCCCCAAGTGCCCGGTGGGAGCTGCTGCGGCAGCCCCACCACCAGAGTCAACAGACTCAGAGACTGACGGAGTACCAAGTAACCGGCCTATACCCGAATCGGTAGGCGTGGCCTGCCCCGATTGCGGCGAAAGGTACTCCGGCCGCAGTGCACTAGCACAGCACCAGCGGCACCGGCATCCACTCACCCGAAACGAAGCTAGGGCAGCCGGTACACGGCGGTCTCCTCGACAAAGAAGATTGGTTATCTTTACTGAAGAGGAGGAACAAATAATGATGGAGTGCGAACTCCGGTACCGGGGTGAGTTGCGTATAGCAATGCGCATGCGGGAGTTGATACCAGAGAAAACCTTGAAACAACTCCGGGACAAAAGGGCCCAAAAATGCTACAAAGAACGGCGTGAAAGGTACCTCGCAGAAAGAGGGATCGCAGCGAGCGCTAGTACTGATGATGACAGTACCGAACCAGTATCTACAGACACAGGGGATGGTAGAGCTACCGTCCCCCAAGAAGAAGCGCCCGAAACCAACAGCTGCGAGGAAGCGGGAGTAAGGGGTGGCTCCCCTATCCCAGTCCCGGAGCTACTCGACGTATCAGCAGTAGCTGCCATTGCAGGGGGTGAAAATAACGTTAATAATATCACACCCACCGCCGAAAACACAAGTCCGACTCAGACGCCTGACATGTCAGAGAGGGTACTGAATGTCAGTGAAGATGAGTTGGTATCGCCAGCAGCTTCTCCAGAAGAGATACATTGGAGACAAGATGTTGCTCAGACTGCCCGTAGTTGCAAGTTGACTCGAGCGGCACAGCAACACCTGGAGGTGAACACGGTCACCCAGCTGCTTAGAAATGCAATCTCCGAGGCTTGCGATTTGCCTATGGGGCAGCCCCAATCGCAAATAGATACTTTACATGATAGAGTCACCGCTCTCTTCGTCAGCGAGGAGCGGGGAGTTGCAGGGCGACGAAAGGGAAGGCGTAGAGGACAAAATAAGAGGGGTAACAGACGGTACCTCTACGCCCGTACCCAGGATATTTACAAAAAAGAGCCAGGCATTCTTGTCAAGCACGTCCGTAACAACGTGGACTGGCTGGAGGAACCAGGGGTAAAAGCTCCAGCCCAAGACGTGCGGGACCTGTACAAAAAGCTTTTAGGCACAAATCCGTCTGAAGTACAGGTGCCCTTCCTGGGAGAGCCCTCCGAACCGGCACTTGGGTTAGGTACTGTGCTAACCGCCGTGACGGCGAAAGAGGTGAACACGCGTCTCTCTCGGATGAAAATGTCCACAGCACCGGGTCCCGATGGCATTAAAAAGGGAGACATTAAACGCGTTCCTGGTGCAAACGAAGTCCTCCAGTTATTTTTCAATTTAATCATGATAAGCGGTAAGATTCCTACCGCCTGGAGGAAGAACCGAACTACTTTGATCCCTAAAGAGGGTAAGGACGGTATGTTAGCTGAAAACTACCGTCCAATTACAATCTCTTCATTAATGTCGAGAATTTATTTTGGCATTATTGACAGCAAACTTAGGGCAAAAGCACGGTTCTCACCCAGACAAAAGGGCTTCATGAACGAATCTGGGTGCTTCAACAACATCCACATCCTCAATGAGCTGCTGAGGCACTCAAAAGCCAAGAATGGCCTGGTTGTAACGCAGCTGGACGTGTCCAAAGCATTTGATACCGTGCCGCACCAAGCTATAGGACACGCGTTACGTCGCAAAGGTTTTCCCGAACAGGTGGTACGTATCGTGGAAAACGCATATGAGGATGTAACCACTATTATAGAACTCAATCAGGCGCCAATCGAGATACGCCTCCAGCGGGGGGTCAAGCAAGGTGACCCCCTCAGCCCATTACTATTTAATCTAGTTTTGGAGCCCTTGCTAGATAAGCTGGAAACGAGACCTGGTTACAGAATCGACACAGAGACGCAGATATCGTCCTTAGCATTTGCCGACGATCTGCTCCTAGTCGCGCAAACGGTACCACATGCTAAGGACCAGTTAAGTAACACGGAAGCATACCTATCGAGTCTAGGTATGAAGATTGCTGCCAATAAATGCCACACCTTCCGTGTAAACCGTACCAAAGACTCCTGGTACTTAACTGACCCAGGCCTCGAACTCGACAGTGGAGAAGTGATACCGGTAGCGGGGGCCGGCGATCACCTTGTCTACCTTGGATGCAAGTTGTCTCCCTGGGTTGGGGTCACAACCGAGGGCATACGAGCCGACCTTGCTTCAACTCTTAGTCGTGTGCAACGACTGAAGTTGAAACCGCATCAAAAGGTAGACTTAATCTCTACTTACATTGTTCCTCACTACCTGTATCAGTTGTCCATAGCGATGCCGGCTATGACACAGATAAAACTGATGGACCAGGAGCTACGGGTAGTGGTGAAGAATATTCTTCACCTGCCGCAGGCAACAACGAACGCCTTACTATACTGCGGTAAGAGGGACGGGGGACTTGCGATCCCGAGGTTGGAGTGGCTCGCCACCTCATCAGCCCTAAAAGCCGGCTTAAAGTTCGTGGACAACCCCGACCCGGCAATGCAAGCTCTTGCCACGGGCACTAAGCTCGAGAGTAGAGTGAGGCGACTCGCTCTCGATGCCCGGATAGCTTGGCCAGTTACTGGGGAGCAACTGGCCAGCTATACTAGAACGCAAAAGAAGGCTGAGCTTGCCAGATGGAAGCGCCTTGGTTCTCAAGGAAAGTCGGCAGCGGCCTTCGCCGACTCCAAGATCGGAAACGCATGGCTTAGGGACCCCTCGTTGCTCAAGCCATGTCGTATGATTACAGCCCTCAAGATGAGAACCAACTCATGTGCTGACAGGGCGGCCATGAGCAGAGCGACCAGAATACCGGATCCTTCATGCAGGCAATGTGGTTCGCAAATTGAGACATTGGGACACATATTGGGGCAATGTCGTCACACGAAACCACATAGGATTCGAAGGCACGATGAGATCAAAAACCTCATCGTGGAAGAACTTAAAAAGAAAGGCCCAGAGGTGGCAATAACGGTTGAACCGACGGTGGCGGCAACCGGAGGCGGGAATCTCAAACCTGACCTGGTAATACAAAGCCGGGGAAGGGTCTTCGTGGTCGATGTTACAGTCCGCCACGAAGACGGGAATAATCTCGCTCAAGGGTTTACAAGCAAAGTAGAAAAATATAGCCGCTTGCTACCTCAATTCCAGCAGAGGTGGGCAGCTTGCTCTGCTGAAGTCCTACCAGTCGTGGTAGGAACTAGAGGGGCGATGCCCAGGGAGACCATCAAAAACCTAACTAAGTTAGGAATCTCTCAAAATAACGTGCTTTTAACAATGTCGTTAATAGCACTTCGTAGTTCCATCGAAATATACCATGAATTCATGGACTACGACGCCCCTCGGACGCGCCGCGGCGCGCAACCCCACAGGTGATTCAGCAACTTGTGGGAAAAACTTCTGGCCATTTTAGCCCTACTGCACTTTATTTTAATTGTGGCGTCTGATTTTATGCTTTGATATTATATTTATTTATCTATTTATTTATGCATTTTATCTGTGATGTCCAGCTCCGGCTTATTTTAAAATGTTCTCAACTCACCCTATTGGTGACCACCCCTATTGGTGGAGAGTGGGATTGGTGTTGTGCAGTAGGTGCGAGTCGTAAGAGGCCTTCCAGGAAAAGGCTATTCACGGCGGCGGGGTGTGATCTGGATTGAGCTAAGCAATCCATCACCGGCGACAGCCTCTACGAGGCCTTCCCCATCAACTGTTGGGGGTCCGCCCTCACAGAGGGTCCCCCTCAGGCCGATAGTCGCTTTCTCTAATCTTGAGGACCCGTTCACCTAATTTTTCCGAAAAAGCCAAAGATCAGGGTTCCGGCAATAAAGTTAGGTTTCTCCTCCCGTGGGAGGACTCTGGCCAGGAGTGCTAGATAGTTGGGCCGAAAGCGAGGTAAATTGAGGAGCGTGCAAAGAAAGACCCTCGGGGTTTCCTGATCTGGGTCTTAGCCGCCCCTAACCCATTCGTGTGGTATCGAGGACCCCCTCACACGTAGGAAAGTACTCTCACTGCAGATGAGAGCAGAAATAGCCAAATGCCTCGTCATCTAATTAGTGACGCGCATGAATGGATTAACGAGATTCCCACTGTCCCTACCCACTATCTAGCGAAACCACTGCCAAGGGAACGGGCTTGGAAAAATTACCACCTGACCAAAAAACTGCCGTTCGGATTGGTGGTGGCAGCAGCGCGTACGGAGCGAGTTGGAGTGCAGAAAGCGACGAAGCTCGAAACGTATTTGGAGACGATTCAACAATGATTGGTGAAGCTCTCGAAGTGGGTTCAGATTCTCGCTATCAGTGCTCGACTTCACGTACAATTGCTAGTGGAGTTGAGACAGTCAGGCAGACCACTGAGGGGCCGGAACGCAGTTCTCCTGGAAACTCTGAGTCTCCCACCGACTCGGGCTCCGGAGACCCATGCGAGGCCGCACTAACTACTATCACATTTAAGCACCCTGCGGAGAGGTACAATTGCTCGCTATGCGCTCGCGCAGGGAGGGTTATGCAGTCCTTCCTAAGCGCGAAAGACGCTAAAACGCACGTATCAGAGACGCACCCAGAAGTAACAACGTACTGGGAATGTCCGCACTGTGACAGAAAGAGCACGACCACATCGGGAATTTCGAACCATATTCGATCATGCCGACCACTAGGTCGTCCCGCAGAAACTGGTTATACGTGCGAAGCCTGCTCCTCATCATTCCCTACCAAAGTTGGCCTATCGATGCATGAACGGCATGCTCACCCAGCAATCAGAAACCAGAAGCGGTTAGCTGACGCAGCCGCTCCCAGGAAGACGAATGCTGGCGTCAGGCCAAAGATTTGGTCAGAGGAAGAGGAGCAGAAACTGCGCCAACTAAACCAAGAGTATGCGGGACAAAGACACATTAACAAGCTCTTGATGTCGCAGTTCAGCGACAAGCGTCGTCTGCTTGGCCTGATTGAACCGGCGAACGGGCCAGCGTCTCGAACGAGTGACAGAGCAGTACCCCGCTCACTTGGAAATCAGACAACAAAGCTGCAAAAAGAATCGCCAATAAATAAGATCTTGAAGCCTCAGGTGAAAGTACAGAAATCGTATGACGACGAAGAGAAGAGATGGAGGCAGTGTATGATAGCTTCGGCGACCAGAACACTTGCCAAACACCATGACGAGATGGCGAAGGACGCTAAAATACAGCCTTTGGCAGTCAGGTTAACTGCAATTGCGGGGAGCCTTCGATCTGCTGAAGATGTCATCAGCGTATCTGACCCACTCGTAAAACAACTCGAAAACGTCGTCAACGAACTCACCGTCGAGTTAGCGGGAGGCAAACCCAATCTGTCCCGAAATTAACCCGATACAGCTCGGGACGGTAGAAAAAAGATACCGACGCCTGAAAACGCACACTGCTGCGGGGCCAGGCAAAGTGGCTAAGAAGGACATACGCCGAACAGCGCGCATTCTTCTGACTGCGATCTTTAATATCTGCTTGGGGATTGGGTTTTACCCCGAATCCTGGAAACGTAACAGAACAACGCTGATCCCAAAAGATGGCAAGGATCTGACAGTGGCAGCCAGCTGGCGGCCGATTACTGTCAGCTCAATCCTAGCCAGACTGTTCTCGGGGGTGATCGATGAATCTCTTAGGGGAAACATCGAGCTAAGCCGAGCACAAAAAGGATTCACGCATGACGAGGGAGCGGCTCAGAACGTCTCCCTCTTTCGCCAAACGTTGAAAGCGATGAAGGAGGAACAGGGTGGAACTTGTTCCATACTTGAAATTTCCAAAGCCTTCGACACAGTGCCACATGGTGCATTAGTACCGGCGCTCAGAAGGCTTGGAGTGGCCCCTTATATCGCTGAATACGTCGATTACGTATACCAGGATTGTCAGACGGTCTTACCATCTACGACCGAAGAAATAAAGATCAGTCTGAAGAGAGGCGTGAAGCAAGGCGATCCTCTTAGCCCACTTCTTTGGAACGCAGTCGTCGACCCATTATTGACATACCTCGATCAGCGGGAAGGAAAGGGAATTGTCCTGGGAGGACGCAATGTGTCGGTCCTGGCGTTCGCGGATGATCTGATTCTTATCAGTAAATCTGAAGGGGACGCCGTAGAGGACATCGAACTTGTGTCTGAATATTTCAGCGCCCTAGGCATGAACCTCTCGATAGCCAAGTGTAGCGCGTTCACGGTTAAACCGCTACATAAAACTTGGGCTATCGTGGACCCCAAGCTTAAGATCAAAGATCAGGAAGTCAATTATGTGGACCCAGACGAAGCGATCTGTTACCTCGGTGTCAGTTTCACTCCTTGGAAAGGAGGAATTTCTAGCAAAGACAACGCGAAGGAATTCGTTTCTGCTGCAAAACGGGCGGCAAGACTTAGTCTCAAGCCCGAACAGAAACTGAAGCTGATATTCGAGTATGTGTATCCCAGATACAGGTACGGAATGGTGCAAAATCCACCTTCCAAGACGGCGTTAGAAGATGCGGACCAACAAATCCGGAACGTTGTTCGTAAAATCTTCCATCTGCCAGAAAGTACCACTATGTATCTACTATATTACGCGCAAGAAGGAAGGTGGCCTAGGCGTGACCCGGATGACAACTGATATTCAGCTTGCTGTAATCAAGTCCGTCGTGAGGATGAGGCAGTCTACAGACCCCGTAGTCCGAAACGTCGGAATGTCATCTGTGCGGTCCACGGAGGCGGAAAAAGCAGCTAGACTGCTACGAATCCAGATGCCGACCTCCACAGAAGCCGTCGCAAAACTGAAGCGAAGCGCCATTGACAAGGAGTATTCCTCCTGGAAAGGGCTACCGTGCCAGGGCGATGGAGTCGAGGAGTTTAAAGATAGGCTATCCAATGAGTGGTTGACCAGGAACGATCTTCTATCTAGCGGTAGGATGATCGATGCCCTACGTATGCGTACCAATACGTACGGTAACAGGACGACGCTCATTCGGGCTGGACACGATCACCTGTCCCACCTATGCCGCGTATGTGAGAATAGGCCGGAATCCCTATCTCACATTATTGGAGGATGTCCAGAGTTGAAGCCGCGAGTGATAAAGAGACACGACGAGATTGGTAACCTCGTCGAGTCAGAAGTATCAAAGAAGCGGCGCAACCTGGAGTTACTCCGCGAGTCAACGTTCCGCGTGTCCAATGGCATGTTGAAACCGGATCTGGTCGTAGTAGATCAGGGAAGGGCCCAAGTGGTCGACTACACAGTCCGCTACGAGGGTACAAACACGCTAAAGGAAGCCCACGAGGAAAAAGTGGCCAAATACTCGATACTGGAGAACCCTCTCCGCGACATCTTCGGAGACGTAGAAGTGGAAGTGATCCCAATCGTCATTGGTGCGAGAGGGGCACTACCCAGGACTACGGTCAATGGCCTGCGGCGTCTAGGAATTTATTCCAAGTCGTTATGCAGAACACTATCAATGATTGCTCTTCGCTCATCAATTGAGATGGCGAATGACTTCATCGACGGTAGTATCCAACGTACGAGGCTAACCACGGCTGACTCACGGAGTACTTGAACGCAGTAAGAACCATGAGTGTGCATAACATCAGGTTCAAGTTGAACATAAAGGCGCCTTGTTGACACAAGATAGCCTAATACACTTTAGTGAAATTTTCCAACCAATTAACACTTTATCACTTGAACCGCACAAGCCTTCAAAACGGTTCAGTTTTCTTTTCGAACGCAAGAGGAAGGTCTGAAGGGAAACCGACGGGCGAACCTCGACTACCAAAGGGGCCAAATTAGAACGCATGGGCACCCGAAAACTTGAACGCACTACGCCGTCGAACCCGCCGGCGGCTAAAAACGATAGTGGGGAACCAGGTCGGTGCGGTCTCATCTCGTTCATTCTGAAACCTCATGGGTCTTTGCAGGCCGGTGAGGAGGCGGAATGATGACAGAGGGTTTCCAGGGAACTGCGCTCCGAGCAACCTCAGTTGCCTGCCCGCCTTACTGATAGCCAAATGCCTCGTCATCTAATTAGTGACGCGCATGAATGGATTAACGAGATTCCCACTGTCCCTACCCACTATCTAGCGAAACCACTGCCAAGGGAACGGGCTTGGAAAAATTAGCGGGGAAAGAAGACGGGTAAACGGCGGAAGTAACTATGACTCTGCAACTTCCATTTTTCAATAACGCAACTCCCACAGTTTAGATCGTCAAAATTCACTAATAGGCATTAATTGTGGTTCAGCAAGGTTCCACGAACTCCCCCTGCAATTTTTTTCGAAATCCATTTTTCAAACCCCCAACTCCCGGGGTTGTTACCGTTCGATTCGAGAACTCCCGGTGTTGATCAACACCAGAACACCCACTGTATCCGCCCCCGACAGGTGAGCGGGATCGCGCAACTCCTCGCACCTGGAGGGCCAATTCCCTTCTTGTGTTTGAAGTGATCCCGCAACTCCGCGTCGGATTTAGGTCCTTGGCTTGGTCTCTCTACACCAGTGGAGTGGAAACTTCCTGCCTCAACTCCCGAGGCCAGGAAGACCCCCTGACGTCGAACCCCGCAACTCCCGGGCAGTAGCAATACCTTGCACTGCTCTTAATCTGAAACCCAACACAATTCGGTAGTATATCTTACCCCGAGGCTCCGACTCCATCTGGTAGGTGGATGGACAGCCATTCCGCCGCCTCAAACAACAAGGCGGAAGCAAAGTCGAACGACGCAACACGTGGCGACACGAGGAGGAACAATACTGAGAATACCTCTCAGCGTATGCAAACGAGGATGGCTGAAAATGTTACCGCAACGGCTTCCAAGAACAATTCTGGAGGTTCGCCATCCCCAACATCACCCCATGGCAGAGGAGGCCGACCGGCCAACAATTGTCCCTGTGGTAGGTCATTCACTACACTCAAAGGCCTCCAAAACCACTCAAGACGATGTCCACAGGCCCCCCCGAAAAATCCACAGGGGGCCATCAACACCAACACCACAGACTGGCAACAGTGCAGCTTCTGTGACAGGGCTTTTCAAACCTACCCTGGCATGAGGCTGCACACCAAAAAGGCCCACCCGGTGGAGTATAACCGCCAATTGGCAGAAAGCGCACCGCACTCGGAGGCGGAAATCATGATAACGTTAGCAAATATAGAGGCTAACCTGACCCCCGAGCAAAGGTACTTCTTAAAAGACATGGTGGCGGCAACGGGGCTGACAAAACATCAGATCCGTCATCGAAGAGATAAGCCGTTATATAAGGAGTACCTAGCTCTGGCGAAAGAAGAAGCTTGCGCACGACTAGGAGCGCAGACTGCTGCAACAACGGAGGACATGAGCAGTCTTTCACAAGCTAGTTCTCCAGTCAGCAAACGCAGCCATGCTCCGAAAAGTCAGAAGTTCAGCCCAAAGCGAGCTATCGGCTATGGACTACGGAAGTTCCGAAATCTCATTGGTAGCAGGGGTACCGAGGAAGGAGTAGACGCGCCACAGAGGCAAAACTCAACAAATGCCATCTGTGGACCACAGTACGTCTCCACACCTCCATCTGCTGAACGAAGAACTTCCGTTGGGCGACTCACCACGAACGAAACAACAGAGTCGCCCGCAGCGGCGCGTTTAGCCAATTCAGCGATTGTCATCCACGCATCCCAAGAGGCTGGGCCTTCAGGAACCGCCCAACCAGCTAGAAGGAACGCCCAAGAAGATTCGGACATAGACGAAGACTGTGCTAGTGTGAGTGACAGTGCCGTGCAATTCAATATTGTAAACTCTAATGTTGTAACTGACGCGGACAGAGACACTAATCAACTGGCACAATCGCGGGTTACTTTGGGAGGCTCGTTGCGAGAGAGCTTGCTGGAAGCGAAATACACCGAGCTTCCGGAGGAAGTTAAATCCTTGATAGACCTGGCACTACAAGGTCGCAACGAGCCTCTAACGAAGGCTCTCGACGACTTCATAGCGTCGCGGACCAAGTCTGCCAGAAGACAAAGGAGCACCCGCCGGCCAGCTGCGAATAACGCCCCAAGACAAGGGGGCGAATACAACTACGGCCGTTTGCCGCTACGTAGTCTGGTTCCGGAAAACAAGTCTGATGACGAACCAGATCTCGCTAGCCCTCAAACTTGTTTCCTTCTCGAGCGTGACGATCTGTTAGCTGAGATGGCAGCTTCTCAATAAGACTGTCCTGAAGTAAAGGATGCCATCGGTGAATGGGAAATGCTAAGGTCGTTATCTCCGGAGGAAAGACAACGTCTTGAGCCATGGGAAAGTTGTCTTTGGGATTCATTTGAGGTCAAATATGGTCTGTGAAAATAACCATCCATGGAAAATAGTCAAGCCAGGCAGCTACTAGTTCCAAAACACAAGCTTGACCGACTACTCCATCGATTCCACGGCCACGAGGATGCTTGTCAGCCTGGGGTACTGGAAACGTACTTATCTGCAACTAGACTGTACTACTCGACAGGTCTAATGGACTTGATGAAACGCTTCGTACGCGCAACCAGCCGCATCCCAGATGCCGATTCTCCCTCAAGAACCTTTCCAGGTCATAAGTATCGACCCCATGTGGCCTTACCCAAAAACCCAGGCCGGAAATATGGTCCTGTTTGTGGGAACTTGCATCGCAAGTAAATGGGTAGAGGCCGAGCCCAGGCCGGATGCGGTGTCAAAAACAGCCACCAGTTTTCTGCATAGCATATGCACAAGGTGAGGATACTGAAAAGAGGTCATCAAATATGGTTCAAGCACTTTTCAGGATCCACCTCGAAAAAAACATCATTGAGCACCGGATCTCATCAGCACCAAAGAGCGAACCCGGTTGGGAAACGAAATGCAGAGCTGAAAAAGAGCAATACGTGCAAGAGTACTGGGAAAGACACCTGAGCAGTATACTCTTCGCACTCCGAAATAGGAGGAATCTCACCACGGGAATCACCCCTACCGAGTACGTCACTAGATACACCCTATGTAGGCCTGGTGAATGGAAATATCCAAATTTTCAGTTCTAGCGTGCCAACAGGACTGCCAAAATTCGGCAAAAGCGCCGAAAACAAATAGTATATGCCAGAAATTTGTTCCCGCACGCCACTGACACCCCAGCTGTCTCATTTAAGCCTAGAGACCAGGTCATGAGCGGCGAACAACGAAATGAACTATTTGCAAAAAACTGGACGAGTATTTATTTCACTGATTATTTTTATTTTCATTTTATTTCATGGTTTTGAGTGATACCATAATAATAATTTTAGTGGGGAGTTTTTGTTTTGAAAAAAACAGTTACGGGTAGAATACCTTGAGACAGGAACACCAAAGACCAAAGCATTATTCGAAAACAACCCTACCTGCATTAAGATAACCTAACTATTCATCTTTCAAATATGGTCGATCATACAACATGAAAACTTCGTCTATCTTTGTCGGATACATGCAAATTAGCAATACAGTTTGTTTAGACAATAAAATTCTATTTGTCTCTGTCTAACATATCTGAAACTTCTTTAAAAATATTCACAAAACGCTGTCGTTTGTTTTTTCTACAGACTAAAATGATGACGTAATCGTCATCTTTCGTGATTTCGACTTTACTATTGTAGTAACCGTTTGTCTCCTAAGAGAAACCTTTTTGAAAATTCAACGAATTTAAGTCGCATAGAAACAGTATTTACACTTGTACCACTGGTGGTCAACTCCGGCTGTTGGCAAAACATCACGTGGACCACCGATGATACAGGTCGTCGTCAATGGGTCAAAAAATCGGATTAACAAAATTTCTTCATAGCAGCCGCTGTGTTCTGGCATTTAGTCTTTTACAAAATGAATCCAGGTGTACAAAAAACGACAACAAAATACGGCTTTGATTGTCACCTGTCAATAGGGGGCATTTTGAAATGTTACTAAATAAGAAAAAGAATTTACTATTCTCTTATGTCTCTTAAACAAAATATAACGTCCTAAAGATTCAAATTTCATCACTATACACCATTCGTAATCAACTGACAAAATTTTTAGGTAAAAATTTATTAATCTCTCATGCGTGTCCGGCCAATAAAACCACACGCACTGACATAATCTTCTTTAGTGTAAACGTTTCAATCACAAATGTGACCTTCATTACAATGGCAATATGGTATATTTTATTTCTGTCTTCATTATCCATTTGACGTCACGCGAAACCAGCAGAGTCCAAATGCGAATTAATTGGCCAGACAAGCATGGGGGATTATCGACATTTAGACCACATGATAAGTGTCAGATGTTACACAATAATTTATCGTTTTTCCTACTCTGTTTAGCTGGAAAATCACAATTGATAAAAAGTGCTATAATAAAACAAAAATGTTATAAAACCTCCCAATTACATTTATATTTTAATAAATAAAAGCTTACTTCTATGTTTGCAAGAAGGTGGTAACAAACCTATTTTAAGGTGTTCAAGCGGTGTCTGTTGAAAAAGATGCTGATATTATCCAGATCGAATTACTGTGCTTGTCTTTGATGAAACTTTTAGTATAAAACCTGAAAACGATAAAATACAGATTACCTAGTAATTGTTCACTTTATTGGGCAAACTCTACGTAACACCGTTTCATAGGGAACGATGATGAAAGGGAATGATAAAACGATGCTTAATAGTAAATAGAGCTTTGAGAAACGTCCAAATTAAACGTTTGATTTTGTACGATTCAAATGTTGCTTCAAGTATGGGCTATATTAATGGTGGGGAGTTCGTTAAAGAGTTGTGAGAAATTTGACAGAAATGTGAAAACGCTTGTGATGACACCACAACCAAGAAGTTGAATTTTCCAACACACGCAATGATGAAAGATCGCCTATTACTGGAAACTCATGAAAAACAAATACAGAAAAGGCTGATTATAAAGTCAAATATGACACTGTCGTAAATTGTAGATCATTGCAAGTCTACAGAAATGTCCAAGCAGCATAAAAAAGGAGAAACAGTAGAGCAAGTCAGCTTCGTAAAGCAATGCAGGAAATGTGGCAGAGAGCATGCACTTAGAAAAAGTTCGGGATTTAACAGAACTTGGCCAAATTTCAGAGGAAAAATCATTTCGCCAAGACGTGCCACTTCGAAGAAAGGAAGCAAGAATTGAGCATGAATGAATGGATGCATCTTGAAATTAGAGGCATTCCGGCCACCATAAGGAGTACCTCTACAATCCTTAGATCACACGCCTCGCCCTTTTAGCGAAGTTGAGAATCGCCTTGAGTCCAAACTCCTTGACGTCCTGAGGGTCCAAAGTAATGAACCCCAGTATAGTCTGCCTATAGTAGCTCAGAGCTTCACAGTAACACAAAACGTGCGCCGATGTCTCTTCTTCTACCCCGCAGCGTTCACACAAGGGATCCTCAGCCACCCCCATCACGTGCAGGTGCCGCCTTAACGTGTTATGGCCAGACAAAAGTCCCACCAGCAACCTTAGGTTGGCTCTATCCAGAGATAGGCAGAAGCGTCCATCCTTAGCACTGGGCCCTTCAATGGGTTCCCGTGCCTGGCGGAGATGTCTAGAGATACTTCTCCATTTCTGAGAGTGTTGTATTGCAACCCACGTCTCCATTTTCCTCCTAGCTTTATGCGCGGTCACTCCTAGAGCTGGCTCAGGACCAACGAGCTTGCTGGCTGATCCTGTCTTCGCCAGAGTGTCCGCCGTCTCATTGCCCCTTATCCCAGCGTGCCCCGGTACCCATATTAACGATACCGGATGCCTCGCTGCGAGGCAATCCAGAGCCTCCCTGCATTGCAATACAGACTCGAAGTAATCTTACAGGCACTTGCACTTATACTTGCAGCCTGGCTGTCGGATAAGATTGTTATTCTTCTCCTAGGCCCACCCTCCTCCAGAATGTGAGATACACAAGCCAGAATCGCAAAGATTTCCGCCTGGAAAATAGTGGTGTATCCACCGAGAGGCAGAGATAGCCTAGTTCTAGGCCCAGGGACCCCCGCACCTGAGCCCTCTTCGGTGACCAAGCCGTCCGTGTACCAGACCTGCCCGCTCACTTCGGGCGTCCCACTCCTCCCTCGTTGGATACTCCACAATCAACTTGCGGTTGAAGCGATATTTAGGGGTAATACGATCACCCCTGCTTAGAAGGACGGGGTCATCCCTTTCTAATTCGACTAAGATGGCAGTATGCCCCTTAACCGGATTGAAGAAAGCCCAGCTGCCCTCACTCCACAGTCGATGAGCGACTACTCTCGCTTCACCGCGGATCACCAGATCCAACGGTGGGAGATCCAACATAGCTTCCATTGCACTCAATGGCGTTGTTCGCACTACGCTTGTAATACTAATACAGGCCAAACGCTGAATTTTATTGAGTTTGGCCTTTGTTGTCTCAGTTCTAATGCAAGGCCACCAGACCAGGGGGCCGTACAAGAAAGATGGACGTACTATCGTCGTGTAGAGCCAGTATACCATTTTGGGTTTAAGCCCCCACCTTACCCCGACAACACGTCTACAAGCCTACATCAAATTGCGAGCCTTGCTAACCTTGTATTTCACATGCTCTCTCCAGTTCAGTTTGCAATCCAGGATAATTCCCAGATATTTCACTGTCTGGGACAAAACTAGTCTAGTCCCAAAGAAGGTCGGCATGACCAGCCCGTCAAGCCTTCTTCTCCTAGTGAATAGGAGCAGCTCGGTCTTTTCAGCATTAACAGAAAGATCGACTTCCCTACACCACGATTGCACGGAGCGCAGAGCGCCCAGCATAATTTCCGAGACTGTTCTACAAAAACGCCCCCTACCTACTATGCTTACGTCATCAGCATAGGCTTGCACGTAGACACCCATAGGATTGAGCAAGTATCAAGCAAGAAGGGCCCATGCCATAGAAGAAAAAATTAAGGAGGGAAATGTTGAAGTTAAATGTTTACAAGAAACACCAACGTATTTGATCATTGATGAAAGAGTGATTAATGGTTCTTCAAGTTCTTGGCACGCTAATATCCAAGTATTCAAGACCTTTATCAGATTTATTTTAGATACTGGAGTAGAATCCAAAAAACAATAAAACCTACAAATGTCTTTATAATTTCGTATGAAAATTTTAAATCAAAAGCTCATTGAAATTTAGCTTCAAAGGTATAAATAGAAGTGTAAGCTTTTTAATATCAGATGTTGTGTCAGAGCCAATTAGGGGGTTAGGAGAGTGTTTAGAAAGTTATATAGATATAATGGATATTCTAAAAGATGTGGCACAAAATGTATTGGCTTTAATTTTAACGAGCACAAAATAATATCAAACGAAAGTTTGTTTATTTTCCTGTCAGTTGACATTTATTTGTTTTAAAGTTTTTGCTTTAAGATCTATAAATTAGAAATGAGAAAAAGTATCTACAAGTTGGTTGGGCGGGTATCCAAACCTGAAATCTGTCGAATACTCCAGAATGAAAACATTTCACGCAAAACCATTTATCGAACAATAGATAATACTATGTCTGAATCTCCCAAAAAGTGGAAGACCACGTGATTTACTGCACAGAGATCAGAGAGATTGGCGAGAAGTACAAAAAATCAGGTTGGAACGTCAACAAGGAGACTGGCTCGTGAATACAGATCTTCTAAGAGGACGACATCGTTGGAATTGAGAAGTAATGGTCTTAAATATCGAAAGAGACTAAAGTGCCTCAAATACTCTCAAGCGCAACTCCTTCGTGTACCGAGATGCTGTCGTCAACTGCGACGGGTACTCTTTGCCAATGGAAAAAACATTATTTTAGATGACGGAATATATTTCACTTTAAGTAATTCTGAAAAGAAGGGAAACGACGGACTTTATACCGACAACGCCCTGACAATGTTACATACAAACATAAAGCGAAATGTGCAGATAAAATCCTTGTCTGGTGCGAAATTTCTAGCAGGGGTGTATCCCAACTTTTTCTGGGAAGAATGAGGGGTGAAGCATTGAATAATCAGAGCTGTATTGATAACTGCCTTTCCGAATTGCTTCAGTTTGTCCACGAACATCATGCTAATGACCATATGAAGTTTTGGCCAGACCTACTCAAGAGATACCCAAAGCTGGCTTTGACAATACAACAAACCTTTTGCTTCCAAAAACGATAATTCTCCAACCTTCGCAAAATAGAGGATTTTTGGACTTTACTATCTAAGAAGCTCAAGATGAAGACCGACGAATTAACGAAAAACCGAGATAAATTGATCTGAATTCCGTCCAGGACCTCATGAGAGACATTCTACGAAAGTTGCGACTGGTAGAGCTGAACGGGCCACTCCACATAATTCGATAGTATAGTTTAGTTAAGTATCGCGTTGTAATTTATGATAACTAGTTAGTGTTTAAATATATTTCTGCATTAAAAAAAATTTCGATAAATTAATATTTTGTGCCAAAACTGTTAGGACATACGTTATTAGAAGGCTTAGGTTGTTTGTCAGATACTGTTGATATTAAGCTAGGGTCAAAGCCATTCCACTAATACAGGCAGAAAGAAATGTACCATTAGCCCTGCACAATAAACTAGAAGAAATTTTGAATTACAGGTGGGTTGATTTATGAATGCTAATTGAAAAGTCTGATGGTTCACTTCGCATGTGCCTTCATTCAAAGTATATTTGCAGAAAATATTATTTAATACCAAATCTGATGATATTTTAAGTAGATTAAAGAATAAAACTGCATTCTCAGTAATGAGATGAAAAATGGGTTTTGGTAACTGAAATTGCCGGAAAAAAGTGCCAACTTGAGAACATTTAATACACCCTTTGGAATATTTAGGTTCAACACGAGGCTTGATCAGTTGAAACCCATCTTTGGCCAGGCTAGCCTTGGAAACAATTCTAATCACCTAACTGACGTTTAGTTGTATTTAACTGCGATTTTAAGTATTGTGGCCTAAAAATGGCGGTTGTTGTTAACAATCCGTCCAAATGTCGTCATTCATTTTTTTGTGAGCTGAAGGTTTGCAACCATTGCAAATTCATACGCGAATGCAAGCAGTGCATGAAAACGCATGTCTTGCGAATCCTGCTATCAAGGAACGGTGTCGAAAATTTAGAGAGAAGACGAATGATAAGCCGCGACCAGGTGCATCAACAGACAGGAATGTGGCATGTGTGGAAGGCATGCTTAAAGAAAATCTTCGAATTTCAAGCAGCGACAAATCTTGGTGTCATTGTAAATTTTTTTTTTACCATAAAGGAACCTTGTTCATAGAGTTTAAAGAACCTACAGTCCATATCAATGCAACCTGTACACTGAAACTTTGAACAATCTCCATCAAGCAACAAGATGAAAACGTCCAGGGAAGCTCTCACGTGGTGTCATTCTTCTGCACGACAATGATCGGTCTCATGTTGCCAGAGTAGAGAAAGAAAATCTACAGTGGAAGAAATGGGGGATATCAGAGGATCCCGATTTATCGCCATGCGATTTTCACATCTCTGAGCCACTGAAAAATGCAGACGTACAAAATGGCAAGCAGCAGTCACAAGAATTCTTTAAGCAGGGTATACATCGATTAGTGAAACAATGGGACATGTGCCTTAGGTTGGGAAGTCTCGAAACTGGAGATACTTCAGACCAAAATCTGTGAATTGGCCTAAAAATACCTTAGTCCAACTCAACGGGTCCTATTAAATATTGTCCAAACATTCCTGCCCATACATTAATTTGAAATTGTACTTGGTGGCGGGTTTGTATGTATTATTGCATGAGCATTTTCGTCTGCATCAATGTGAAGATTATGCGAGTTAATGGATCCATCCCTTCCAAATCCTGCTTCGTTCGAAAATAATATTATCGAAGTAAAACCATTGTCGTGGTTAAACGTCCTTAAGAGCCATGTACAAAATTCTACCCTTGCGGGTTCATCATGCGCGCTTAAACTATGTACTCTTTGCAGATGGTATGGATGGAGCAGTTGCATTTGAAAGATGAAACATTTGGAAACTTGAAATTCTCGAGGTACATTCCTAACTCCAACTGTAGGATTTTCAAAGACATCAAATTCACGTACGGTTCTGGGCCCCGCTAAAAATCGATAATAACATTGTAACTTTGACACCCTGTATCTCGCAAACTATCAACTTTTGGTCTAAGGTATGATTAGGTCAATTCACATATTTTGGTCTGTCGTATCTTCAGTTTCGAGATGTCCCAACCTATCGCAGACATATATTATATAACATATAAAATGCAACACCCAGAATTAGTTTATTTAATTCTGATAAAAGCTTGTAAACATATTTGCTATCATGAAAGTATACGCCGATAAAATATTAAAGGCATTCCGAGCCGTACTTTTTCGTAAACGCGCTTTTTTATCATATCAGGATCCGAACAATATGAACTTGTTTCATTGCATTATCAACTTTCCGAGTTAGATTGGGGTGTATAATCGGGTTACGTGAAGCCGGATTTTCTTTAGAGGAATCGCTAATCGGGTGGATAGAAACGAAGCTACTGTAATGAGATGTTGCCGAGCGTGGTTCCAAGAAGGCCGAAACCGACGAGTTCGAGGTACTGGACGTCAAAGACGAACAACAGAGTGACATTTGTGGCATCTAACACTTAAAGATCGATTTTCCTCATTAAGGGCAGTTGCGAACCAGTGGTCGGAAGGGCAATAACAATGAGGACAGTTTATCGCCGAATATGGCCTTTTTGACTGTTTTCGTACCGTCCCCATTACTACCTCTGACCTCACAGCATCGTCGGCAACGATTGGAATACAATAGGGAGAGACATAAATCGAATATGGAATGAAACTCAGTCGTGTTCAGCGATGAGTCCAAATTCTGTTTGGGCACACTTGATGGCCGTGCAAGAGTATGGATTGGGCGAGATATTCCATCGAAAGGCACATTTATCGCTTTGTGGGTGTTAGTGTATGGAGCGCCATTGCTAACGGCAGCAGGTTACGATTAGTGTTCATTCGATGTAGCATGACTGCCCAGCGCTATATCCACGAAGTTTTACAATCACATCCGTTTACATTTTTCGGAACATTGCAAGATCCACTTTTTTAGCAGGACAATGCGCGACCTCATGTCGCACGTATTAGTTTAGACTTTTTAGAAGCGTCCTGAATAAATCTGCTTCAGTGGCCTCTCCAGATCCCTCCCCCATCGAATATGCAAGGGACATGATAGACAGACATAATAGATTTCACGAAGCCAAATTCAGATAGCATGAGATACAATACACCAAAAAGACATCAATCACATAATCCAATCAATGCCGCGACCACTTAACGAATGTGCAGCGAACAGAGGAGCTTCAACACATTAATAACATCAAGGCGGAATATCTCAGCTATTTTTCGAAATTTCGCATTAATATTTGAATCACTTTCTATTTATCAGTAGACCTAAAACTTGTAAAAGTATGCTCAAAATTACAGCGCTCCTAGTCGGTGTTGCATTTTCTATGTCATTTAGTTTATTTGCCAATACATTTTATGGACCAAAGGTGAGTTTCAATTGAACAAACCTCGTATAAGGGGAAACGTGTATAAGCATGTTGAAACATGTCCTCAAATTGCGGAGAGAGTGGCTTTGGACACCCACGATGAACAACGAAGCGGGTGGCCGTCGATCTCCGAGGAAGTTGTGGCGAAGAATGAGCAAATTTCGCTCGAAGATGTGCGAATCACGATCCCAGAACAGCCGGTTGAAATTCCTGAGGCAACTACCAAGTTTTTGAATGGGCTAGCGGCGAACTTCCTTAAGGCGAGAGTGCAAATGTGGATTGATGACGACTATGGAGAAAAATAGCTTAAAGACCGACGTGTCTAATGGTGAATCCGTTTTTCAAATGAAAAATGCCTGATACTTGAAAAAATGTGGGAACCTTGTTTTTGAAATAACCCTCGTAATTAACAGAGATTTATGTCTGCCATCTGTGCTACACGAGCGGCTTTTATCGAAGGCTGGGCAAGCAGTCTTGTCAGCTGAAATAGGTTTTAAGCCGATACAGTTAAAAAATTCATGTTTTTAAAGGGACATTTGTAGTTAACATTTTCACTTTAACACCGTTTAAATTTCCTCATGAGTTCCAATGGATGATCTTTTTTTATGAAAGTTGGCTAGTATTTATTTCTTTCAGCCTTTATAACTAACAGCATTTGTCATCTTTTTTCGTAACTTCGGGTATTATTTAAGTACGTGGACAAACGTCAGAAGTATCAAACGTTTTTTTTAAAACCAGTTTCCTTAATGTATTAATGAACTTTCAGTCGATTTTGTTCAAATTTAGCAGTGGTATTAAGGGTAATAAGAAGCCAAATTAGCCCCAATTAGATTGACATTATTAAATCCGGTGGGGTCCCGAAAAACACCGTAACCATCATCTTAGACAAAAAATTTGTGCGCCCTGACTTTTTTCAATTGTTCTAAGCGGCTAAGAATACAACTTATTGGGTCTTGGGTTTCTTTCATATTATCTCACTTCGTTTGCGAGATAAAAAATAAAAAGCACTTTATTGCATGTTTTTGATAATTAAGATACACGAAAGTCGTCTTTTGAATGTTACTGCTCAGATTATACCTGCTGTCGATAAAACAAATAAACATAAAATATTTACAAAGCGCTGGAAATTAAAAAAAAATAGACCGGGAAAACGTTTTTTTTTAAAACTAGGTACACTTAAACTTTTGTTTCAATAAAAACATTTATAGTTATAATAGTTGCTGAAAATGCCCTCATCGCAAGCATTAGCTCGGCTTAATATCAATAGTCGAAGTCGTAAATAAAATACGAGATAGAAATTTCATAAACCTGTTGTTGCAAAAGCAAAGTATAATAAACGACTGGTTGTAAAAAATTATTAATAATTTTTAGTGATTGGGCCTTGCAACAGCTTTTATCGAAAAATTGTGTTGAGCGATGAGGCTCACTTTTGGCTAAATGGATATGTTAACAAGCAAAATTGCCGCACCTGGTGTGATAAGGCTATACAAGAATTGCCCATGCATCCAGAAAAAACATCAGTTTGGTGTGGTTTATGAGCTGGTGGAATTATCGAGCCGTTTTTCTTTACACACATTGGATGATCTGATTTGCTTGACATGTGGTTTCAACAAGACGGCGTCACATGCCACACAGCACGTGAAACAATGGACATTTTAAAAAGTAAATGACAAGAACCAGTTTATCGATTCCAATATGGATTTTGTAAACATTATGCATTTTTAGCTTTTTTATTCAATATTTCAAAAAAAGGCTCTTAAAAAATCACCCGTTACAATTATTAACCAGAATCTGTTAAACTCTTAAAAAAGCACCTTAAGAGGATGCTCTTATCTAACCCTTTCTACAGCATAGATGAGTTCCTTGTGGTTTTGAACGACCTGAAATAATTCAATTGTAAGGAGGTCCATTAACTTGGCATTCACATGCATGTTTTAAATTTGCTATATTCAGTTTGTTTGTTGTTCTTTTAGTTTGTTTTTTATTTCATCTTTACTTTTTGAAATATTCCGTGTTACACATGTGACGTGTTCCTCTCTATACTTACGTATAGTGTTCGGACCTAATAAAAGAATTTGAATATGATGTTTTCTTATGTTAAACCAAGTGATATACATATAAAGAAACTCAAAAGACAAAAAAGTTGTATTTTTAGTTGCTTAATCCGAAAAAATAGAATAATATAATCACCTCCTGAAGTTTGGCCACGTGCTTAAATAACACATTCTATAACGTTCTGTTTACGGTGGTGTTCCGACTTATTTCTTCTATCTCATTCATACACTCACACCTAGTTCGATAGGATCATCGGAATCCTCTAATACCAGTTAACGAGTTTTTCAAGGAATGATGAACTAGTTCACTTAATTCAATCGTAAAAAATTGTTCGATGAAACTAGTTCGTTCGCAAACTGGTACGTAGGCTTATTTTCGCGCAGGCACGACTTTCAATTATATGGAATATGTTAATCAATGACTACATAACAAGATCTTAAACTATCTACCTCATATAACAGCCAATTTCTGTCTCCGTTCGTGACGTCGTCGTACGAACAGCGTGTCCTCACAAGCACCAGGGGCAGCTGGTCAGACCCGCCTCGTTAATGGGCGGTGGTCATCGGCCCCCGGTGGGCGTGTCTTCTTGGCTCCGCCTACGCGCTCCGACCATCGAATTTCTCCGCTCCGCCCCCTCGTTGTCGTCGTCCTCGCTGAGCCGCGAAGAGGAGCCGTCCGCGTTGCAGAGTCGACACCGGCTGCATGCGATACACGGCGCAGCTAACAACAGGAGCGGCGAAGCGACCAGAAGCAGGATGCCGAAGCTGGCGAAGATGCCGACCACTTGCGTGCGATGCCACAGAACGGAGGCGCGGGAGTGACCGAGCTTGTTTTTGCACGGGCCGCGGTCGTAGTGCCGCAGAAGGAAGTCGTCCTGTAAAAATACGAGAGACATTGTAATAAACTGTTTTAACCAAATTCAAATATCGATTGCTTCGGGCGGAAAGAGTTATCGAGTTGCGGTATTCGGGAGGTTCTTCAACAACTCTTTGAGAAAACGTACAGGGTTCGATCGGTATATTTCTTTTATTTATCAACTGATACAGGCTGAGCAAAAGTAAGTCATGTTTTTTTTAGCAAAGTTTAGGGCTATGTCATTCCAATAGTTCATAATAAGTAATAAAATGTTGAAAAGCTACAAACGTTTTGAAATTACTCTTTTTAAATGTATAATTTTCTTTTTTTTTTTACTAACTTATTCGATAAAGAATGCAATTTTCTGTAAAAAATCTCCTAGTAATGAAATGTGCAAATTATGTAAATAATATCTCTATCTAACAAGCTTTCATTTGAGGTATTAAGCGTTCAATTATCAGAAGTACATGCAGAGAAACAACAATGACACCCACAGAGGCTGGATTTTTAAGGAATTTGTATTACCTGTTTGAACAAGTCGTTACTGTCCTCAAAGGACTCGCACGCCATGATTGTTTTATGGCATCGGCTCGACGAGGAAGCGAGCGAGAAGAGCTGACTTAGTGGAGGAGTGAGAGAGAGAGAGCTGTTATTATTCATCATTGTAGTTACGCCATCGCCGCACGCCGAGTGAGAATTAGGTTTAGCTGGTATCAACTACTGCGTACGCGCACACGTTTTACGCACGATTATTATTTTCGAGTTTCCCAGTTCATTTCGAGTGGTTTCTTTATCATCACGGCAGACGCAGAAGATCCGCCAGGACCTCGCCATAGCGAGCAAGGGCAAACTTTTACAAATGAATAATACGCAGACATAATATTCTGTTATGGACTTTGTAACGGCGATTCTGCAGCTGCCCGCCGTGAATATCGGCAACGTTTCCCGAATCGCCGAACACCTCATGTTACTGTGTTTGACTCTGTGTATCGGCGCATCCGCCAAACCGGACGTGTTCAAAGGCAACATAGTGATGCTGGTCGACCCCGAGTCTATCCTCCTGAAGATGAAGAGGAAATCCTTCGTGTGTTTCAGGAAGACCCTACTACGTCTACGCGCATTGTGGCTGCTCAGTTGGGTATATCACAATACAAAGTATGGTTTACTGTGCATACTGCAAGATTATACCCTTATCACTACACGCCTGTGCATGTGATTGAAGAGGGCGATTAGATTTCTGCAGGTAAATGTTACATGCAGATACAGAAGATCCAGACTATTTTAAGAAAATTCTGTGGACCGATGAATCGAAGTTTGATAAGGACGGGATCACTAACTACCCTAATGCTCATTACTGGGCTGATAAAGAAGCTTTAAACCCCCGAAAAATAAGACCGACGGGGTCTCAGAGCCGGTTTTCAGTCAATGTGTGGATGGGCATCATTGATGGATATTTAATTGGACCTTATTTTCTGCCCGCCAATTGAAATGGAGAAGTGTATGAAGAGTTCTTGAAAAATCACTTGTTTACATTAATGGAAGACGTCCGATTGGCGACTACAGTAGATTAGTACGGGCGTATTTAGACTCTAAATTTCCAAATCAATGGATTGGCAGAGACGGGCCCATTGCCTGGCCAGCAAGAAGCCCAGATCTCACACCGATGGAATACTATACGTAGGGACATATGAAAAGTCTGGTGTACGATGTTTCGCACGTACCAACGCGCGATGAATTAATTACAAGGATAATCAATGCAGCTGACCAAATAAAAAGCCCCTTAACCAAAAATGAATTACGTAAGAGAATACGGGCGCGTATTCGTAACAGGGGATTACAATTTGAGCAGAATCTGTAAAATACTAAAGGAAATATAATTAAATAAAATTGTAATTAAAATCAAAGCCTTTTAGTTATCCTACGTAATACGGACGGCTCGGTCACCGAAGAGGGCTCAGGTGCTGGGGTCTCTGGACCTAGAACTAGGCTATCTCTGCCTCTCGGTGAGTACACCACCATTTTCCAGGCGGAAATCTTTGCGATTCTGGCTTGTGTATCTCACATTCTGGAGGAGGGTGGGCCTAGGAGAAGAATAACAATCTTATCCGACAGCCAGGCTGCAATGAAAGCACTAAGTGCATGTAAGATTACTTCGAGTCTTGTATTGCAATGCAGGGAGGCTCTGGATTGCCTCGCAGCGAGGCATCCGGTATCGTTAATATGGGTACCGGGGCACGCTGGGATAAGGGGCAATGAGACGGCGGACACTCTGGCGAAAACAGGATCAGCCAGCAAGCTCGCTGGTCCTGAGCCAGCTCTAGGAGTAACCGCGCATAAAGCTAGGAGGAAAATGGAGACGTGGGTTGCAAGACAACACTCTCAGAAATGGAGAAGTATCTCTAGACATCTCCGCCAGGCACGAGAGCTCATTGAAGGGCCCAGTGCTAAGGATGGACGCTTCTGCCTATCTCTGGGTAGAGCCAACCTAAGGTTGCTGGTGGGACTGTTGTCTGGCCATAACACGTTAAGGCGGCACCTGCACGTGATGGGGGTGGCTGAGGATCCCTTATGCGAACGCTGCGGAGTAGAGGAAGAGACCTCGGCGCACGTTTTGTGTCGCTGTGAAGCTCTGAGCTACTATAGGCAGACTATACTGGGGTCCATTACTTTGGACCCTCAGGACGTAAAGGAGCTTGGACTCAAGGCGATTCTCAACTTCGCTAAAAGGGCGAGGCTTGTGATTTAAGTATTGTAGAGGTGCATAAGGGCCCGCTTAAGCGGCCTATGCACTGGCTCCTTATGGTGGCCGGGATGCCTCTAAAATTCAAGATTCATTCATTCATATCCTACGTAATTATCGTTCGTACAACTTTACTCATCTTTTTTTAATTTTATGTCTTTGTACTTGAGTTAGTTGGAACTTTTATACCTGAAATGAAAGCTTGTTGGATAGAGATATTATTTACATAATTTGCACATTTTATTACTAGGAGATTTTTTACAGAAAATTGTATTTTTATCGAATAAGTTAGTAAAAAAATAAGAAAATCATACATTTCAAAAGCGTAATTTTAAAACTTTTGTAAGTGTTCAACATTTTATTACTTATTATGAACTACTGGAATGTCCGCTATGCGACGATAAGAAAAAACTCAAAATCAAACATGTAGTATAGGGAGTATTCCAGTGGCGTAACAACAAAAGCATTTTTCGGTTTGGTAAGAAGTGCTATTAATTTAAAAAAAAATATATATTTTTCAAAATGCTATGATGTTGGCCAACACTGCTTTCCATATTTTATCTATATTTTTTTATCTTTGTCATTCAGCATTGGCGTACGCGTCTTCAGTAAAGATGTTTTCCAGGTAATAGACTCTATTAAATTTTTAAACTACATCAAAGAATTTATTGATTAGCATTAACAAAATGTAACATTTTAGAAAACAAAAATCTGAAGACCAGTTAAATACCCAAATTATTTATTCATGACAAAAACGAACTTTTTACAAACAGCAACAGTTATTTTAAACAATATTGTTAGTACCTTGTAGGGTCACCCATCGATCACAGCCTACGATACTTTCCAGAAGGTAACAAATAAATTCTCGGGATACATTTTCCCACTCTTCCTGAATAGCCCCAGACAGCTCCTCCATTGTTGAGGAGCATTTTGTCTTGATGCTCAATGATGTTTAGCTAGATCATTCACTAAAGGACCTTGATCTTATACAATTCTCTCGGTCTTTTTGAGAAAATAAAATTATACTATTAAGTCTACAGTCAATATTATTGTTATTGAGCAATTGCATGTTTGAGGTGTAGGTAGTGAGGATGAAACCGGAGAAAAGTCATAGAAATGTCCCGAAAACCATTTATTGCGGGAAGTTAAAAATTCGATAATCTAAGTTATAGCCAACTTTCGAAAAATATGAGTTCTCTTTTTTTAGGATATTCCAAAAATCAAAAAGATGCATACAGGTAAAAAAATTGACAAGATCTGAAATTGGGGATCCGACAAGGAGTTGGTGAAGAACCTCCCGTAGCGCAACTCGATATCTCTTTCCGTTCCGAAAATTTCGGATTTGAATTTGGGTAGGATTTTCCATGTTGTAAAGCAATTGTTCACCAGTTTAGATGTAAGAGTCAAACAAAAAATGGCGTCAAGTAGATTGACTGTATACTTCATACGCCTTCTTTGGAGGTTTCGGAGAAAAATGATGTGTTACGTCGTTCCAAAAGGCGGAATCAAATCGTGACTAGGGACGCTCACTTAGGTACGCCGAATCTTCAAACTGTATAAGATAATTTATATATTACATATTTATCTTTCCTTGACATATGTAGGAAAAATACAGGGTTGAGTCATTTATTTTAACTGTTTTGTAGGACTCGTCAAAAGAAGTTTAAATACCAACAATCGCCTATATAAAAGTTGCATGTTCAATTATATTCTGGAAAAAGTTGAACACCTTGTAACTAAAAATTGGTGAAACCTCCACAGACAGCTAACCGAAAAAAATAGCCGTAAAAATCATTATGTGTCTAGTATTAAAAAAAAAGCTTATAAAAAATTAAATCCAAACTTGCACAAATATACAGGGTGACATTTTTGAGAAAAACTACAATTTGCGTTTATGACCACCGTGGATGAGTAAAAATTAAAATTCGAAAAAGTAACAAATAAGATAAAAGCTGAGGTGTGTACGTTTTGTTTGATACAAAATTCATCACTCGAAATTTCAAAATGGCGGATTGAGGGGTTGCCGAAGTGGACGGTTTTTCTGGACAAAACACCTTACATCTCAGTAGCTAATTACTAAAACTCCATACTATGTTATATGAATCTTCTTCTTTTGAATCGGTTTATCCAAATATGCAACAAAATTTGAGGCATTCCATTAAAAAAATCACAACTTTGATATGTAGCTCAAAATTGGGACACCCTGTATAATTGCCAATATTTTAGAAATGTGCCCTCAAAAGTCATGTATAACATGCCATTAATAGATTTTCCGAAAA